ATGTTTATGCACTCTAATATGGTAACAATAATTTTAATATACTATTTTGAGTAAATTTATGCTTTCCATTTACTTTATTTATTTATCATTGTTATGGTCCTTAGGAAAATGTTATTTTCCTTATTTGGCAAATGGATATAACGAAAATAATGGAAGAAAGTTTGTACAGGGTAACGCTGTAGAAGTTGCCTGCCATCCTGGCTATGGTCTTCCAAAAGAGCAGACCACAGTTACATGTACTGAGCATGGCTGGTCTCCTCCTCCCAGATGCATCCGTGTCAGTAAGTACACTGCTCTGAGATCCCAGCATGTTCATGTCTTTCTAAGTAACACAGATGACATTCTCAAACTCATCCATATTAACTGTGACAAAATGTTTTTGTCAACTCGTTTTGCCAACGGACTTATTTAGTTTTACTTTTTAATTGTGTGAATATACAAATTTCTTGATAAGTACATAGCAAAATAAATGCTCCTATTAATGAGTATTAGTCAAGAATACAGTAAAAGAGTTAGGACACAATACTTGTTGGCTAAATAAAGTCATATCGAAGCGGCATCAGTGTCTGGGGTCAATACTCGAGGTTGGTCATCTCGCACCAAGAACATTAATTACAAATGGGTGTTCTGGGATATTGTGCATATTCAACTCTAGAAGGTTTCCTACAGTATTTATTCCAATATACATTTATATCAACAGTTCCTTCCTTTTTTACATGTTGCTAATGATTGGTGATGTCACATTTTAGTATTTACAAGTTGAGTGGCTATAAAATGTTACAGCATTGTCGTGTAAATTTGCATTTCTTTTACTACCAACTGGATTTACAATATATGTTCACAATTTAATTGGTATTTAATGATTCTAATCTTTGGAAATGCAGTTTGATGTTTTTTGATTTATCTTTTTGGGAGTTTTGGTATTTATTAGTTGGAATCATCTTAATAATTCTGAATATAAAATATCTTTAATTATATGTAATGCAAATGCATTCTTTTTGTGGCTAGTATTGTTCTTTCCTTTTTTCTGCATTAGGAACATAAGTTGCTCATTTTACTAAATAATTGTCAATCTTTTTTCATGATGAATGTTTTTCGGTTCTTTTTAAAGGAATACATTTTCAAAAGCACAGAGCCATTATACCATTCTTTATTCTAAAATGTCATATGTTATCTTTTCGTACTTAAAAAATATTTTTTATTTTCTTGATAACAGCTGTATTTCATTTTTAAATAAAATACGATAAACTCAACATTTCCCTAACAGTTTTTATGGTACCATTCTCATACAGTATATGTTATGTTGTATATTTTGTACATTGTGTGTGTATACACACACAGGCATACACACACACAATGACTTTTATTCTGAATACTCTGTTCTACAGTATTAGTAAACAATTTTTTAATCAGCATTCCAGTAACCCTCTATTGAATTTTATTTATTTATTTTATTTTAAGACAGAATTTCACTCTGTCACCTGGACTGGAGTGCATTGGTAGGATCTTGGCTCACTGCAACCTCCATCTCCTGAATTTTAATTAATATAGGTTTACAATAAATATGGATATGGCTTTTCACTCTAATGATGACCTTTCACCCCAGTCTTTTTTCTTCATCAGTCTCTTTTACGTATCTCATCATTTTGTGTCAGATGATCCCATTACTTTTAGACTATTTTTAAAGATTGAGGCTGATAATAAGCTTTGATTGGATGTGCAATTTCTGCTGATATCAACCAACTCAATCAAGGTTTATGCCCCTTGCTTTGGTTTTGCAGCTAATTGTAGAGTCAACTACTTATTTCCTTTTTATTTTTCTTACTTTTTTCCTTCCTTCCTTCCTTCCTTTCTTTCCTTCCTTCATTCCATCCTTCCTTCCTTCTTTCCTTCCTTTCTTGTTTCCTTACTTCGTTTCTTTCTTCTTTCAGCTGTTGAAAGAGTCAACTACATTTTTTCTCCTTTCCTTTCCCTTTTCCTTTCTCCTTTCCTTTCCCCTTTCCTTCCTCTTTTCCTTTCCTCTCCTCTCCTCTCCTTTCTTTCCTTTCCTTTCCTTTCTTTTCCTTTCCTTCCCCTTTCCCTGTCCTTCTCCCTTTTACTTCCCTTTCCTTTCCTTTTTCCTTTATTCTACTTTTCTCTTCTTTCTCTTTTTTCTTTTTTTCTCCCTTTCTCTTTCTCTTTTTTCTCTTTTCTTCTCTTCCTTTATTTTTCCTTTTTTCTTTCATTTTTCTCTTTCTTCTTTTTTTCTGTTTCCTTCTCTTCCTTCTCTTTCTTTCTTTTTCTCTGTCACTCTTTTTCCTTTATTCCTTTCTTTCTTTACCTTTCTTTTTCTTTTTTCTCTTCCTTTCCCTTCCTTCCTTTCTTTTTTCTTTCTTTCTTTCCTTCCTTCCTTCCTTCCTTCCTTCCTTCCTTCCTTCCTTTCTTTCTTTCTTTCTTTCTTTCTTTCTTTCTTTCTTTCTTTATTCCTTTCTTTCTTTACCTTTCTTTTTCTTTTTTCTCTTCCTTTCCCTTTCTTTCTTTCTTTCTTTCTTTCTTTCTTTCTTTCTTTCTTTCTTTCTTTCTCTCTTTCTTTCTTTCTTTCTCTTTCTCTCTTTCTTCCTTCCTTCCTTCTTTCTCTCCCTTCCTCACTCCTTCCTTCCTTCCTTCCCTCCTTCCTTCCTTCCTTTCTTCTGTCTCAAGTTTGTCTGGCTCAAGTTATTCCTAATAATGTTACTATTTTGCTCTTCATGCTAGACTCTGTACTTTAGTCAGGTTATTTATCTACTTTGTAGTGGTCATATAATTAACAAGACTTAGCTTCATCTTCAGATGGAGATATCAATGTTATATTATCAATGTGGTCAATTATCAGTGAATCACAATACTTCTCAATTTAATAAAATGTAAATTCCTCAAACCATGTTGTGAAAATAAGCAGAAAAATTTAAATATACTTAAATGAATACAGCAGATATATATTGGAGTGTGTCCTGCGTTTGTGCAAACTGGCTGTGATTTCCTTTAAAATAATCATGTAAAGAAAACACTTGCCAAATAAATCACAGAATACCAATTTCCCTTGACTTCGGTCTTATTTACATATCCATTCTGCCTTTCTTGGCCTGTTAACTGCTGCACTTGGACTATTCACACTTAAAATAATTACCGATATATAGGACTTAAACCTCTGTCATTTATTAGTTTCTGTTTGCTTCCTCTGGTTTTCAGCCCTATTACTCTATTCCTCCATTCCCTGTGGGGAAATCTTTAAAAAAGATTAATTTTGATTCATATGTATTGTTTTTGATTGTATCCCTTGTATAACTTTTTACCTTTTGTAAAAAAAGTTGTTGCTTTAGCTAATACTATATACATATAATAATATATTACTGTCTACTGGTGCTGACATTTAAATCTTCAACTGGAATATGGAAACCTTACTTTCATGTAGATCCAATTTTACTCTCCGCGTTTTAAGTACAAATGCCACTAGTATTTTCCATACATATATTGAGCACCATATTAAACTCATTTGCTTCAAACATCAAACATAATTGAAAAAACATATGAGGAAAAAGCTTGTTATATTGACTCCTCTTTTTTTTTTTTTTTTTTTTGAGACAGAGTCTTGCTCTGTCGCCCAGGCTGGAGTGCAGTGGCCAGATCTCAGCACACTGTAAGCTCCGCCTCCCGGGTTTACGCCATTCTCCTGCCTCAGCCTCCGGAGTAGCTAGGACTACAGGTGCCCGCCACCTTGCCCGGCTAGTTTTTGTTTGTATTTTTTAGTAGAGACGGGGTTTCACCGTGTTAGCCAGGATGATCTCGATCTCCTGACCTCATGATCCGCCCGTCTCGGCCTCCCAAAGTGCTGGGATTACAAGCTTGAGCCACCGTGCCCGGCCTGATTCCTCTTTTTATCTATTATATTGTTCTATTCTTTCAGTCTCCTAAAGTCTCAAGCTCTTTCTTTTATCTTTTTATTTTAATTTGAAGAATTCCTTTAGTTAATCTTTAAGCATAGGTCTACTGGAGACGAATTCTCTTGGTTTCCCTTTTTCTGAGAATGTCTATATTTACCGCTTTACTTGTAAAGGATAATGTCACTGGATATAAAATATAGTATGACAGTTCTTTAAACACTTGATAACTGTGCCACATGGTTATAGAAGAAAAACTCACCGTCATTGACATTGTTGATCCCCTAGAGGAAAGGCATAGTTTTTGTCTAGTTGCCTTCAAAATATTTTGTTCTTTTTAAAAGTAGTTTTATTTTGACGTATATTTGGTATAAATTCCAATGTGTTTATCCTCTTTGGAGTTCACTCAGCTTCTTAAATATGTAAGTTTATACCTTATGTACAAAATGGGAAGTTTTCAGCCATTATTTTATTTATTCATTTTTCAACCTAATACCCTTTCTCTTCTTTTTATGGATCTGCATTATTTGTTGTTGTTGTATTTTTCTAAATGTCTCAGTTCAGTTTTTTGTTTTCAATCTTTTTCAGAGTGGGTAATTTATATTGCTCTATGTTCAAGTTTATGGATTAAATTGTCTGTTAGCTCACAATGTATTATTAAGCCTATCAAATGTTTTTAAAAATCTTTTTTCAAATTTTTCAATTTTATAACTCCTATTGGGTTTTTGAAAACCATCATCAATTTCAAAACCTGTATCCTCTTAGTGTCACTCCAAAGAAAGTTGAATACAAAATAAGAAACTTCCTTTGTCATAGTTTTCTATGTTTAGCATGTATTCATTCGAAAAGACATTTCTTATTTCTGGTCTACTATAAGTGGCAATATTTCTTAATGTTTTATGTGTTTCTTCAGTAAGGCAAAAATAACTTAAATATATTACTTTCAGTTTGTAGAAGTAAAATTTCTTCCAGGAATCATTTCTTTCACCAGAAATCACAAAATTGTTGATATGATATGAAGTGCTGTGTTTGTATTTGCCTTATTTGAACTTATATTTTGATTTGCTCTCACAATAAATCAAGTGATGAAATGATGTTTTTTAGATTCTACAAGAAAGTGTGGGCCCCCTCCACCTATTGACAACGGAGACATTACTTCATTCCCGTTGTCACTATATGCTCCAGATTCATCAGTTGAGTATCAATGCCAGAACTTGTATCATCTTGAGGGTAACAAGCGAGTAACATGTAGAAATGGACAATGGTCAGAACCACCAAAATGCTTACGTAAGTACTTTAATATTCGCATGGACCCTGGAAAAATCAGTGTGATGAGTCTGATATTTCGCTGTTTGTAACAAAATAATCACAGATTATTGTATAATCATTCTGCTGAATGCTTGCCTACCAAATATTTATGTTAGAAAGCAAACTTTAGAAATTTTTCTTTACGGCAGGGACGGTAGCCTAGGCCTATAATCCTGCAGTGTGGGAGGCCGAGGTGGGCGGATCACGAGGTCAAGAGATCCAGACCATACTGGCTAACACACTGAAACCCGATCTCTACTAAAAATACAAAAAAAAAAATAGCCCTGCAGGGTGGTGAGCACCTGTAGTCCCAGCTAGGCAGGAGGCTGACACAGGAGAATGGCCTGAACTCAGAAGGCAGAGCTTGCAGTGAGCCGAGATTGGGCCAACAGAACTACACCCTGGGCAACAGAGCAAGACTCCATCTCAAAAAGAAAAAAAAAGAAAGAAAGGAAATCTTTCTCTTTATATTTACATTTTATGTTAAAACATTTAGTTGACAAACAAAAATATTTTCAAGTTTGACAATATACTGTTTTGATATATTTGGAATACAATGATTACCACAATCAAATTAATTAGCACATTCTTCATCACCTATGCTTACCATTGTGTGTAGGTGGGTGTGTGAGTATGTGTGTGTGTGTTTGTGGTTAGGACACTTAAAATCTGTTTCCTTACCAATTTTCAAATAAATAGTACAATATTATTAGCTATAAATATCACTAGATCTCTACGTTTGATTCCCAGTTCTTGTTCATGTTGTAGCTGAAAGTTTGTACTCTTTGACCAAGGTCTTAATCAACAAAAAACAGCAATGATAGGTTCTAAAATGCAGGGATCCTAAAATGACAATTGATGTAATGAATCATTGATAATACACCTCTAATTCTCATACATTAAACATAGTACCTCGTTTTTACATCGTTTACCATTTTAACTTTATGTAAATCAATATGATGTTTTTACATAGTCAGTTTGGATAGTGTTTTGAGAAATAATTCCTGAACCATCATATAACATTCTACTTGAAAACCTGAAAGTCTATGAAGATTTGCATAATAGTTAATGTTTTTATGTTTACTGTTTTCTATTTTCAGATGCGTGTCTAATATCTCCAGAAATTCTGGAAAAATATAACATAACATTTAAATGGGTAGCCGAACAGAAACTTTATTCAAGAACAGGTGAACCAGTTGAATTTGTGTGTAGATCTGGATATCATCTTTCACCAAACTCTCATGCATTGCGAACAACATGTCAGGATGGGAAACTGGAGTATCCAACTTGTGTAAAAAAATATTGATCATAAAACGCACACCTTTATTCAGAACTTTAGTATTAAATCAGTTCTCAATTTCATTTTTTAAGTAATGTTTTACTTCTTTTTATTCATAAGTAAAATTTTGGGGTTGATTTGTGAAAATGTAATTATAATCTGAGACTGGTGGCTCTCTTCTTAAAAGCACCATATTAAAACTTGGGAAACAAACTGTTGTGTCCAGTTTATAAAATTTTTATGGCATGAAGTTAGATGCAATTTTTTCAGACTGGATTTCTGTCCATCACTGTTAAATCTCTCAAAGCTTTCTCCATAACTTCTGAGGCTCATTGTTTTACAGTAAATGGAAAACATATTATTGTCTCTGACTTCAAAATTATATCACTTCACAAAGATGAAAAAACCAAGTCAAGTCTTAACTCATGTTAGTAGTAAAAGTAATTACTATTTATGAATACATAAATGCACCAAAGTGATATCAACACATAAATGCACCAAAACTAATGAAGTGCAGATACTTCTACAAGATGTCAATCAAGCACACATAATAATGCAAACTAATCACAAAGAGGAATGAAAATGTAATTGGGTATATAAATACTATAACATAGATATACAAAAAATACAAATACAGTATCAGTTATAACACACTCACATGCACGCACTCACCTGCAAACACAGAAACATGATAGTTTTGCCCTGAATTAATGTTTATAGAAAAAAATGTTGCCAAGAAATTCAAAACTATGGATACAATTCTATATATGTGTTTAGAGATAGTAGGGGTAAAATTTGTGATTTAATTCCTTTGTATATATCAGTATTCTCTGATTTTTCTACCTTTAACATATATTACTTTGAACCAAAAGCAAAATTTATTTTAAATAATGATTTATAACAAGCAAGGTGGTACATGTTGAGAATGATAAACATGTCATCAGTAATGATCTTAACATCAAATAACTTCTTAACTATTTTTGGAGAAGAGTTTTGGAAATTTCAATAATAAGGTTCTGAAGTGTAATTTTAAAATTCATTCATTTTAACCAGCATTAGTTAGTTAAAATCATTTTTCACTAGGAACATTTTAAACTCCTAAAGGAGGTGAAGCCATTATGTGCAAATAAAGATATAAATAATACACCAAAAATATTATTTAATGATACCTTATGACTTCAAATTGCATAAAATCAGGTGACTTGTATACTCAGGCTTTCCCCTTGTTAGTGATCCTGATTTAGATAAATTGTTCGAGTTGAGGAAAGCCAGCTTTCACAAATTTAAAGGACATTTGTTATAATTAGCAAGTAGTGTTTGTAGTAATGTGAACACCTAGGAATATACATTTATTCCTAAATTGTTTTAGTACATTTGGTCCATTATAAGAAATTACCATAAACTGGCTAGTTTATAAAAAATAGAAATTTATTTCATAGAGTTTTAGAGGTTGAGATTTTCAAGATTAAGATGCCAACTAATTTGATGTCTTGTAAGGGCTTGTTCCCTGCTTTGGTGCCTTCCTACTATGGTGCCTTCCCACCATGGTGACTTCCCACTACGTCCTTACGATGTGGAAGGGGCAAGGGAGTTCCATGAGGCTTGTTTGTAAACAGACTAATCCAGTCTACGAGGGTGGAATCCTCATGACCTAATCACCTAAAAAGGCCTCACCTTCTGATATAATCACCATAGTGATGAGGATGTAACATACAAATTTTGAAGGGACACTACTATGCAGACCATAGCACAGCATATGGATAAACAAATATATTCCATGTAAATGGAAACCAAAAGAAAGAAGGGTGGATATACTGACATTAACTAAAATAGAATTTTGAGTCAAATCTGTAGAAAGAATTAAGGAAGGTCATTACATAATAATATAGGAGTCAATTCACCAAGAAATCATAACTATTGAAAAAAAAAAATATATATATATATATGCACTCAACATGGGAACAATGAAACGTATAAAGCAAACAATATATCTAAAGGAAGAAATAGACAACAAAACAATCACAGTATGGGACTTCAATGCCCCACATTCAACAATGGGTAGATAATCTATACAGAAATCAATAAAAACATTGGACGTGAACTATAAGGTAGACCAAATGGACCTAACAGACCTATATAGAATATTCCATTTAACAAGAGTAGAATAAACATTCTTCTCAAGCACACAAAGTACATTCTCCAATATAGATCATATGTTGGGCCGCAAAACAAGTCTTAAAATTTTTAAAAAGATTGAAATTACATGAAGTACCTTTTTCAGGCATCGTGATATGAAACTAGAAATCCATTGGAGAAATGTTAAGAAATTCACAAATACATGGAAATTAAACAACATCATCCTGAACAACCATTGAGGCAATGAAGAAATTCAAAGGGAAATTTAAAAATATCTTGAGACAAACAAAAATGGAAAAGCAACATAGTAAAAAATATATGGTATGCAGCAAAAGCAGTTTTAAAGGGATGTTTAGAGACATGAATGACTCCATGAAGATTCTAATAAAGCAAGTAACTTTGTATGTCTGGAAACTAGAAAATGAAGAAAAAATTTAACCCAAAGCTAGTGGAAAGAAAAAAAAAGCAAGGTACAGAAATAAATAAAACAGACTGGAAAAATAATAGTGAAGATCCACAAAACTAGAAGTTAGCTTTCGAGAACATAAACAAGATTGACAAAACTTTAGCCGAAATAAAAAAGAGAGATGGAACAAATAAATAAAACTAGAAATGAAAGAGGAAACATTGCAACTGATAGAACAGAAATTTAAAAAACTGCAAGAGACCACTAGGAACAATTGTACGCCAACATATATCTGTTGAATAACCTGGTGGAAACAGATACATTCATAGACACATACAACCTACCAAGATTGAAACATAAAGAAATACAAAATTAATACAGAACAGTAATGAGTAAGAAAAATGAACAAGTAATAAAAAGTCTCTCATCAAAAAAAAAAAAACTCAAAAAGCTGGTGGCTTCATGACGGATGGAATCCTAGCAAACATTTAAAGAATCAACACTAATGCTTCTCAAATTCTGTCAAAAAATTAAGCGTGAACTCTCAGTTTTATTATATGAGGTCAAAATCACGCTGACACCAAAGTCACACATGAACACTACAAAATAATTATAGGTCAATATTCTTCATGAACATAGAGGCAAAAATGCTCAACAAAATACTTGCAAAGTGAGCACAACACATTAAAAGAATCATTCACCATAATGAAAAGGGGATGTATATCTGGGATGTAAAGATAGTATACACACACCAATCGATTACTGCTCCACACCAAATTAAAAGAATGAAAAACAAAAATTGTATACTCATCTCAATACATACAGAAAAGCATTTAACAAAAATTAACAACCTTTCATGATAAAAAGTCTCAACAAATTAGGCAGAAAAGAAATTACCCCAAGACAAAAAAGGCTATATATCACAAGCTCACATTTAACATTATACGCAAGAGTGAAAAGTTGAAACATTTTTCTTTATGATCAGAAAAAAACAAGGAGGTTCACTGTCACCTCTTCTGTTCAACATAGTGCTGGAAATCCTGGATAGAGCTATTAGGCATGAAAATTGGATAAGAAGAGAGTGATCTCATTATATACACATAGAAAACCCAAGGACTTCACCAAACCTTGCTAAAACTAATAACCAATTCAGTAACACTGCAGGGTACAAAATCTTCAGACAGAACCAATTACATTTCTATACACTAACAGCAAACTATTGAAATAAGAAATTGAAAAAAAAAAATTCCAATTTACAATAGCATCAAAAATAATAAAATACTTAAGACTAAATCAAAGCCAGGAGATGAGAGTTCTGTACTCTGAAAACTATAAAATACTGATGAAAGAAATTGAAGAAAACGCAGATAAATGAAAATATGTCCTGTCTGCAAGAGTCAAAAGAATCAACATTATAAAATTGTCTTCAATACCTAAAACTCTAGATTCCATGCAATTTTTTTTTTTTTTTTTTTTTTGAGACATAGTCTCACTCTGTCACCCAGGCTGGAGTGCAGTGACTGGATCTCACCTCACTGCAAGCTCCGCCTCCTGGGTTTATACCATTCTCCTGCCTCAGCCTCCCAAGTAGCTGGCACTACAGGTGCCCGCCACCTCGCCCAGCTAGTTTTTTGTATTTTTTAGTAGAGACGAGGTTTCACCATGTTAGCCAGGATGATCTCGATCTCCTGACCTTGTGATCTGCCCATCTTGGCCTCCCAAAGTGCTGGTATTACAGGCTTGAGCCACTGCACCCAGCCTCTTCTAAATACATCTTTCACAGAAAAGGAAAAAAAATCTAAAATTAATATAGAACAAGAGACACCGAGTAACTAAAGTAGTCTTAGAAGAGAAAAAAGCTAGAGACAGCACACTATCATGCTCTCTGGTTTCAAATTACACTACAAATCTATAATAACCAGAGAACAGTTTAGTCTTGATGCAAAAAAGGTACACAGACAGAATTAAAATTTCCTAAACTCATGCATATATAAAGACACTTCAAAATATTCATGAAAAATTGAACTAAAATGAGAAAAATTTAAAAATATACTTTATGGCTTAACATAAGCTCCGTCAAGTTCAACACATTCTTGTCAACAGCTATACAAACCATTTAGTCCATCGCTAAAGAATTGATAGTTCTGGGAATATAGCCATGTTAAGCAGTCTTTTTTATACAATTAACTGAAACAATATGTACTCTTTAAAGATTTGTTTTTAATTACACAAAAGAGGGGCAGTTCAAAGATGGACGAATATGAACAGTTCCAGGCTACAGCTCCCAGCATGAGTAACACAGAAGATTGGGGATTTCTGCATTTCCAGTTGAGCTTTGAAGAGAGTAGTGGTTCTCCCAGTATGGAGTTTCAGATCCAAGAACGGACAGACTGCTTCCTCAAGTGGGTCCCTGACCCCCGAGTAGCCTAACTGGGAGAGACCTCCCATGAGGGGCCAACTGAACGATCAGGCAGCAACATTTGCCGTTCAGCAATATTCACTCTTCTGCAACCTCCGCTGCTGGACCTCCAGCAAACTCCAACAGACTTACAGTTGAGGGTCCTGACTTTTAAAAGGAAAACTAACAAACAGAAATGATATGCACACCAAAACCCCATCTGTATGTCAGCATCATCAAAGACCAAAGGTAGATAAAATCACAAAGATG